TCATTATCTTATGCGACCTTTGGCAACAATAACTCTTACTAGAAATACGATATATACTATGGTAATGAAATTAATAAGGAGAATCGACAATAAAGGCTAAAAGTAGTTCAAGACATAATACGGGTATAAATAGGCTGAGTACAAGTAAGAAAAACCGAGCGAAAAAGATAAAGGTAGATTACTCAAAAGAATAAAAATATAACATGAAGATCAAACAGCAAAGAATGTATAATGTAGCAACGGAAGAATATCAGGATATAAATTATAAATAGGATCGAAAAACTGGCCTTTGGAATTAGCCATGGATAGTGCTCTTTAATCACGGCCCAAGTTTTACCAGAAAGGGCAAGATGGAAATCGGGTCGATCAAGCATTCGGATTGTGATTTGGCGCGCCTCCTGTCGGTGGCCATTGATGAAGAAGGTCTGTGGCGTAAATAGGTAAGGCCGCTTCGTGTACGAGATGGAACGTGAGCATGCTGTATGAACGGCATTGGAGGGACAGGTCCTGAATAGTAAATGAAACCGTATAAAAGTTTAACCAAGATTGAGGCTGACTCCAGGCCTCGGTAATTTACGTACAATAGAGGCACAGGAAAAGATTGCACGCACATAATCATCGAAACGTAATTGAATTATAAACCATTTAGGTCTGAATTGATGAACGTTTATAAAACTTATTTTTCTTTTTGAATAGGCTTACAAGACTACCAGTAAATCATATATAAATAAATATATATGATGTGTTTATGCTATTTAGTTTAAGGTGACGGAAGACTGGTAGTTGAATTTTCCAACAATTATATGAATGGAACTGACGCTTCCAATGAATTCAACATAGCCTTGCTTTCACAAAATATATTCTAATCCAGGGTGGAGAGCAGTTTCGACTTCGCCTAGGACTTATCAACACCCGCAACGGGAGTCAAACCATGGTAGTGAAGTGTGTAATTTCTACACGTTAATCACTACGCCCCTGGGCTAAAGGGCAGATGTGAATTTTAAGGAAGGTCAGGTATTTTCCCATATTGAATTCTGTGGTGAAATTGCTGATAAAGCAAAGTTGGATTTGCTATAGAAATCGACAACATTACTTATTCTTCGTTTAAAGTAGGTCTTCAAAAATATAAGTAAATCAGATATATTATTTGCTATAGTAAACATACGTTTGATCGAAAATATAAAGACCAAGATGGTGTTGCCTTTTGTATTATCGCAGTCTCCTTTCGTTGTATAGAAGTTGTTTGATCTTGTTTTTGCAACTTGCTCATATTGGTAGGAATACCTAAAGGAACGCACCTAGTCCAGAGTCCAGTTGTTCGGTCATAATTGCATCCATTTCACGCTTAATCTGCAGCCACTTCACTTTCCAACATAGGATAACTAGATACGAAGAGAGACTTGGTTTTGATGAATCTCCTGAGATAACATTGCTAGGGGGACCTTCATTTCGTATGTAAGTGCATGAAGAAGAGATTCGTTGGTCGATCTCACCAGATGAGGACGGATGAATCTCGTTGTACTGCAGTCGGTTGGCTTTTATACGATATTCATGTTGACGCAGTCCACGGGACTTCCTCCCTCGTTTCACCAACGAATCTCTTCTTCATGCACTTTCATACAAAATAAAGATCCCCCTAATAGTATAACTAATCAACTCATGAGATGATTCATTAAGTGAGCACAGTTAGGCTATAAGAATTAGGCAAGTTTGCAGCGGGCCACCTTTCCTGTTTTGGTGTTTTGGTGAAGTATCGTAGGCATGGTGTCCTGTTGACTATGACCGTCACATGACGGACGAAAGTTTAAAAATGATTGATCGGAGTAGAAGGACGATGCGCCAAGGACCTATTCGCATAAATCTAGTCACACCTCCGGGCAACTCCTATTCAGCTTCGGATGAAGTTAACTTACGAATCCCTTCTAAGGAAACGAAAGGTACCCCAACATAGTTGTAACAAGAGATTCTTCGAAATCCAGTTTTTAACATAAAATAAAATACTTTTTAACCGAGCATGACTTTTGTGAACTGTGCATTTTGAATGATTTTTTAATCTCATACTGTCTGATGATCATACGAAAAAAAATCCTTGAAATATTCCCTGCTAAGTCTGCTAATGCGACTTGAAAACCAGCCTTTCTTCATTTTAAAGTTAGCCACCTTAAAATGTAAAAACAACGTAATAAATATGACATCTTCCTGCACATCTAGTTTGTTGATACATAGGTTTAATTTTGCAGAACCTACAGGCGGTAGTCATGAAGTGGGTTCATTTTCCCAATATCCAACAAATTAAGGCCTACAACTCAAAAGATTTGAAAATTTACACTTGCCAAATAGATTTATCAGATCCCTAGTTCTGAATACACCTTTAAATGTTCAATTACAGCAGAATAAAAAACGGGATATATAAAATGTGTACGTCACAACCACGTAAGAAGGTGGAAAGTTAGATCGGTAGGTAATTTTATAACTAATATTCCTATGATATCAATATGAATAAACATATTTAAGACGAAAATTGTATGAAAACTAGCATATACAGCAAAAAGAAGCAGGATATATGCTAAAGGTGTATATTCGGGATTTATATTTAAAATAGTGAATAAAAAATAATTTAATAATGCTTAAATTAGAATTGGAGTAGGTCTTAGCCTGTTTGTGCAAGTCATATTTACATGGAGAATCCAAAGAAAATACTCGGTACTGTTCTTCCAATATCGAAGTATGGAATGGTTACCTTCCCGGACGTTTCGCCGGAATCGTCAAAGGGAGGCCTACCTTTAGCAACAAGATAAAATTTATTAAAATATATAGTGAAATCAATCCCAAGGGCCAACACTGATGAACATTCCTGATACTTTTTCCTCTTTTATACAATGCCTCATTTCATATATTTTATATCCACCTTAATCTTTCACGTATACTTTAGATGGTTCGGATTAAGGCCTTTGAAACTGCAAAAACAAATATAAAACCCAGAATACACAACAAATGCCTGTCAAAAGTGCATTTAAGACTAGCCAGGTAAAAAAATAAAAATTCATTGCTCTCACATTGGGCCATCTTCTTGGGTGGTGTGAAGATTAACATTGGTGTGCATTATTGGAGGGAGATGAGTAGAACAGCTATCTAAGACGCTGGGGCAATCAGCTGTGGCCTTACAAGCAGAGGGTGAAGGCTGACTTCTAGAGAACGACTCGCAGAGGGTAGGCTGATGCAAGCTTGAGACTGTGGCGCCTAGTAGACCGACTTCCTCAATCTCAACTCCTTGGTTGACCGCTTCTTCTTCTTCTTCAGCCGCCTCAGCAAGATCAATGTGGAATCTGGCTCTCAAAGGACCAGATCGGGCCGATGCAGTCTCCAGATGAGAAGAATCTGTACTGATAGGGGGAGTAGAGGTTGCATGAGTCACTCGCATCGAGGTCGACGCAATCGGAAATGAAGATGTTGAAGGAGCTATGGCAGTCAACGAATTTTGGGTAGTCTGCAGTTGGACATGGTGATTGATAACTGGCAGGTCATTGCTTAGGCGAAATGGGTCATCACCAATACATGTAACACCCGAAA